GAAATGTCCATGAAAACAAAAACCCTATACATTAAACTATGCTGACGCCTGAAGGAGCTTAAGCCGCTGTTCTGATATGCCCATCTCCAAGGTTTATTGGGCAGTCTGCTTCCACAAACATGCCTTGTTATCCAACATTTGGCATGAGAAACGGTAAGACCATTTCTTTCCAACTATTCTTAAGAATGTTTACTCGTTCTGATTGTCCTTCTCAGAATCCTTGGTGTTTTACCAGGAACCATTTTCTTCTCTTGGCAAGAGATCCATTCACGGCTTAGGCTAGCCAGGGGGAGATGAGGGGAAAGGGGAGATGACACAACCTGTGGTGTATCGGTTCAGAGACAAGATGGATATCATAGGGCCGATGTAATTGCAAAAACCATTGCTTCCTAAAGAGCAAGTCTTAGGGTCATCTTTCTCTCTCCTGTTCTTTAAGCTCTTACTAACTTAACACAGTATTCTGTAGTTCAACAGGGCTTTGGATATAGAATAGCATGGGTTCACACAAAACCTGATTCCCCTACTGATCAGGAGTATGATTTAGGGTAGCTTGTTTACGTCACTGAACCTCAGTTTCCTCATCTATAAAATGGAGATAAATGTTCAATCTTTAGGGTTATGAGAAGTAAATAAAAAGTTAACATTCAAAAATACCTGGCCTAATAAATAAATGTCACTGGAATCCAAAAACAACAACAGAGCATCATGGAAACAAATTCCAAAATTATCAGTGTTCAAACTGGAAACTAGTTCCATTACTCAGAGGCTTCGTTTATAAATCAACATACTATTGTTGTCGTTAGGTACCGTCAAATATGCTGTAGCTTTGAACTGTGTCTGTGAACACTGTATGGCAGTGGTATTTTAGGTTTTGTGTGTTATTTGGTATGATCTGGTAGGTTTGGGTCTGGGAATGTTAAAAAATTCTTCCCATATAAATGAACAGTAACTGCTTCTTCACTTTATGCCAATGAAACGGTTCACAGGCACACTGTACTTTCAGATGGGGGACTACCACATGAAATTTAAAATAACACTAACGTACAGTGTTCACTATAAGATGAGGCAGCCTGCTTCCATAAACATTCCAGCCTTGGGAACCGTAAGGAGCAACTCTGCTCTGTCCTACAGGGTTGCAATGAGTTAGAACTGACTCTACGGCAGTGGCTTTTACAGTGTTCACAGACACAGTTCACAGCTATGGTGGCCTGATGCTGAGATGCTGAGTGTGGTTCCCAGGGAAGGAGCCTGACAATACCGCTCTCACTGCTGCTTGGGGTGTGCGGTGCCTCTGTAACGGCTCACGGCAAAACTGTCGACGCTAGTTTCGCTTTTCGCTGTTTGCTGAGAAAAGCGAAATCCCCTTCGGGTTTCTTTTGGTTAGCAAAGACAGGTACTTATGTAGGTTTTTCACAAAAGCAAGGTGATGAAACGAACTTTTGAAAAGTGGTGGATACCGGTGTTCTGTTGACATTGGGGTTACTGTGTTTTGGGTACCTCGCATTGGATTAAAATGAAAGACAACTTTTCCCACATCTAGGTATACCGGCTTTTCATATTTATTATCCAACTTATGTTTCTTTTTCTAAAACATTCATTTTCTAGTTACCCATTAATTATCACCCCAGAATGTATAAATACGGGATCAGTCAACCCAACAGCAAGGAAAGAAGAAAGTTTAGCTTGACATGAATTGAATGGTGCTCTTCCCTACACTGTAACTGGAAGGCACGTCAAGCGTCTCGTGTCACAATCAAAAAATTATCTGCAAAGGTGGCAAATTGATAGCTATTTCAAAAAAACAGAATCCAATTTCAGAAGCCAAAGCCACTGGGAAACATACATTGATTGTATAGTAGTGAGTATAATGGACCATATCATTTTTTGATCAAAATACATGCTGACACTAAGTCTCTCATAGGACAATAGGGTGGCTTTGAAGGCAGTTTTACTTCTCGTTGACTTCCTCTACCCGAAAATAAATAGACAAAGAGACTGCCTAATTTAGTTCCCCCGTGATAAGGTATCTCTAACTCAAATAAGTCAAAAAAGCATTTAAGGTAATGTTGTTGTTGTTGTTATATGCCGCCAAGTCGGACCCGACTCATAGCGGCCCCTCCTTGGGTTTCCGAGGCGGTATCACTACGCAAGTAGATTGCCCAACCTTTCTTCCGAGGAGTGGCTGGTGGGTTTGAATTGCCAGCCTTCTGGTTGGCAGTCAAATGCCTTAGGCACTACACCACCAGAGCTCCTATTTAAGGTAATAGTGATAGATATAGTTAGTATCTACACTCCTAAGAGAACCATATTTTTACACAAATAATGTGTACGTTATACAGTTCTCTGCAAACCTGCGTTATATGAGTGTGCAAGTTATTCACACGTGAGCGCGTTCCAAGTGAAAAACATGGTACTGCTCTGAAAGATGACAATCATTTTGAGTTGGACTTTTAAGTACTGATGTTTTTTAAAAAATTAATTATTTTACATTTCTGGGTCCATGTAAGTGTTACCATAAATCTCTGCTGAGAGACACGGTGAAGGCAGAAAATACGTACTTACCTCCGAACCTTATCCTAACTGTGAGCATCTTTACCAAGTAACCACATTTGTTAGGAATTAGTTAGAAAATAAGGGGTTCTAGAGCGGAAAAGGACTCCAGAGAGTGTCTAATCTAGATGCTTCAATTTTTGATGGAAACACACACACACACACACACACACACAAACAAAAAGAAAACAAAACAGAGAGGCTAAATGACTGCCCGAGGTCACCCGGCCTACTCAGCACATCAGCTATCCTGCACCTCCACTTTCAACCCTGACTTCTGTTCATTAATGGATAATTCTAACATAAGAGGAGAGTTCATGGAAATACTTTTCATAATCTAATTTACATGAAAACTCTCATTTTACAGATGAGGAAACAGAGTCCTAGATTAAATAGCTTGCCCACGGCCACTTTGTGGGAGAAATATGAGGCAGTCTGCTTCTAGAAAGATTTACAGCTTTGAAAACACTATGGGACCATTCTCCTCTGTCCTAGAGGGTTGCTAGGAGTCAGAATTGACTCCATGGCAGTGAGTGCTGCTTTTTTTTATAACTACATTAAAGTAAAACTTCCTTTAGTCATGCGAAGGCTAGGTTTAACCCTAATGAATGTAGTCTGCTTATCTGGCAAGTGAGTAACTACCAGGCACACACACAAAATTCTTGGCCTCATCTGGACAGTCTGCTTGTACTAAAGAAACAGATTTTTCAGAAAGGCACACTCTTATTTGTTGAATGACTGTCAATATGAAAAGACATGGCATTAGTTATTTCAGCGAAAGAATGTCAAGAACTGAGTAAGCACACATTAGAGGTTATAAAGTTTAAAACTTAACACAGCAGCATGCAGTATTTATATTAGTGCTTTAAGCAGACAAATTAAATTGAAATGTGTCTCTTAAGCAGTCATTGAACAAGGAATGAGAAATAAATTGAGCTTCACATAGGCCTTTATGGCATCTAACAACTGTGACTGTCAACACATGGATCCTTTTCACTGTCAATTCAACACACATTTCACAGACCTTGGGCCTGCAATTATTTCATTTCCTTTCTTGGAAATGTAATTTCCACATACTTTTGGAGAAGAAAGGGCAGACAAAAGGAGAAAGGAGTTGCAGTATTTTCTGATTAAGATTATCTGTGTAAAATGGTAAAGGGGAAAAAAAATCCATACACACATACTGAAGCATTTCTCAGAAACTAACTTGTCTCAGTCAAATTGCTTTTGTGTCTGGATATTGGTTCAAATGTAGCCAGCTTGCTGATGTCAAATGAGGCGTTAAACAAATTTAATAGGGAAGATGAAGAATGAATATAGATCATCTTTCTGTTACAACCGTTCAAATGGCTCTAGTCAAAAGAAATGAAACACATGACTGCAGGAGAAAATATGCTTTTAAACACAATGAAATCAGATAAAACTGTAAGTCAGCAAAGAAGGCCATTCATTCCAAAACAGGAAAAAAGAAAGTTAACAGTGCCAATGAGAGACATGTACGAGTGGGAGAAAACACCAGTTGGCAAAAATAGATCCAAACTGATTCCCACTTCGTTTGTCCAGGTTCCACCCTTGTAGCTAGGAAACCAAGAGCTACAAAAAAAAAAGGGGGAAGGGGTTGTTCTTTCTCTCCTGATAGAACAGGAAATCAGAGGTTTCATTAACCATGATTACAATATTCGGCTGATCTGACTTGTCTCACCTCTTCCCTTTCTTCAAGTGACAAACTGGCTGACATCCTGGCAAGAGAACTAAAGCAAAACTGTAGACTGACTTCAAAAAGACTCTGCCATTGTTAGAAAACAAACTGATCCTCTACCAGACTCGTGTGAAACACGGTGAAGAGCAGGAATAACTCTATGGCATTCCAAGTGCTACCCTGAAGGTTCAAGTCCATCGAGATGGTAACTCCCCACACAATAGTATGCTTTCTTTCTCAGTACTGCACTGAACGAAGGCAGATTTTTAACTGAGGACCAGAAAATGAGGTCGTAAACATTTACCCTTCCAAGTGGCTTCTGAGAGATCTAGTTTCATCGGGCTGCTCATGAACCAGTAAGAGGGACGATGTAAACATCGGATCCTGAAAGAACAGTTAACTACCTTCTGATGCAAAATAAGTATCACTCTGGTTACTTCTTTGTGTAGAAAAAAGATTATTAACAAACCAGTTTTTGGGGAAGGACTTCTCTTCACACTTGATATCCGCTCTGAATCTGAGTAAGACCGTAGGCTAGGGGGCCAGAATCTGACGTTGGGGCATCCACTGGATCTGAATGAGACTGTAGGCTGGGGGCTAGAATCAGAAGTTGGGGCATCCATTGAAGGAAAGAGAGCGTTACTGGCTAACCAAATCAATAGCTCTCCAAAGAAAAACAAACCAAAGCAACACACGTTAGTCATCACAGATTCTTCTACATACTACTTAATAAAGAGGTGGTGTTACTTACTGAAATGTAACCTTGGAACTTGTGCGTCCTTCCAACTTACGGGGCCCTTCACCTGGATCAGGTGCTGGGGGGAACAGGCTGTTGAATTCTGCCTCCAGAGTTTTCTCGTTCAAGGCTGTTTTTGTTACACTGGATACAGAACCCAACACTGGCATGGATTTGGACTCTGAGGTGGCTAATATCCCGGTTGGACCTTAAAACCAAACACATACCTCAAGTTTAATAATTCTGTGCGATGCTTATTAATATGGTATTGAAAAACAGATTAGCTGAAAAATCCCTCAGGAAGTGAAAAGGCCAAGTTCGTTAAAATTTCAAGAGCATGCTGAAAAATGTTCCTATTAGCCGTCTGCTCTGCTTTGGTGGCACTACTGCTGTTCAATGCACAGGGACCACGCTGAGGAATTGTGCACAGACCTTTAAGAAACCACAAAACTCCAGGCCGTGGTGCTCTCACACTGCTAGAGTTCTTAGTAAAACTGGAACTGTGAAAATGCTGCTGCTCCTAGCATGGGGCTTTCTGACAGCCTGCTTCAACCATGCAGCCTCTCAAGAGTTAATTCTTCCCAAAACTCAGCTCTTCATTTTAAACCGAAAACCAAAGGATGTCAAAAGGCTCTCTTAAAAGGCTCGTGAAGGCTTCTTGAGTATTAAACAGCTTTTATGAACATTTTCATTTTAATGTGAATGAGGAGTAAGTGGATTGGTTTCCTCTTAAACTGCAGATACGCAATTATAAAAATTAAGTGGCAAAGAGTTTGGCTGTTTACCTTCTGGAATCTTCTGCTCTTTGGGGCAGGATTAACAAACTACAATAGGGATTGTTACTGAAATTATTGGCATATCAATACAAGAATTCTGGGCATGGAAGCTAAGTACCATCATGATTTTTTTTCCCTGTCCTTATGTGAGAAGAGTCCATCCTGGACAGCTTTTCTCAAAGCAAGATCCTACTATGTCTTTCTTGAAACTTTACTAGGAATCCTTTTTAAAATAGATTCGTGAAATAAGTCACAAATGTGTAAATAAAATGGGAACTTCTAAAAATGAAACTAGAAGACAATCCTGAAAGGTGCCACGAAGAAGAGGACAATTCTTGGGAGTTGCTTTACCCTTAAGAAATGTCAGATTATCTCCCAAAGTGGAAAGTACTAGTAGGTATAGCCCCAAATCTTAGTTAATCCCTAATCATAAATGCTCAGCAATGGAATTTCAGTATGAATGTGATGACGTACTAGTACAGCAGAACAGGCCAACTCTGAAATGAAGTTCTAATTTGGAAAACCAATGAGGGGCTGGAAAATTACCCCACCGTTCCATTGGGTGCCCCCTTCAGCCTACCTCCACTGGAAGACTCAGACCCTTCTGGTCTGGTGGGATGCCCCAGCCCAGAAAGCATTAGGGTCTGTCTTCAGTATTCATTTCCTCTGTGCCATCTGGGCAGACAAGTATGTGATATTATTGAATATTCTGGTTCAAAAGGCCTTTCCCTCCAGGTATGTTAAGTTCCAGGTTGCATGGGGATGTGGGAGCAAAAAGAAAAGGGCAGAGAGATCAAGAAGAGAGCTCCTGAAAATATAAATAGGAAGGTGAATTCAAGATTTGCTTCCAATCAGCTCTATTCTGCCCTTAATTAGTGCTCACTGCAGCATTAGGTAGCTTTAAACAATCTTTGCTGGGAAGCAAGATCTATTTCTGAATACACCAATGCCCTCTGTGTGTTCTGAAGCTGAAGCCACATTGAAAAAGAGGGCGAGTGGGAGAGTGGAGCCAGAGCTCTTGTTTTTCTTATATACAGAAAGAAATGAGAAAAAATGTATCATGTTCAAAATGATCCTTACTGAATCCTGTGTAAGTCACCCAATGTTTTCCAAGAGGCACTTGGCACTCTTTTCAATGTAGTTTAGTAGGTCATAAGGAGGAGCCCTGGGGGCGCAGTGCTAAGGTCCTTGACTGCTGACCAGAAGGCTGGCGGTTCAAAGCCACCAGCCACTCCTCGGAAGGAAGATGGGGCAATCTACTTCCCTAGAGATACTACCTCGGAAACCCAAGGTGAGGTTGCTATGAGTTGGACTTGACTCAACAGCAATGAGTTTAGTTTTTTGTTTGTTTTTTTTTTTAGGCCATAAGGTGAATAAAACAAGGGAACATGAGTGAGGCCCACAAGGAGAATTCTAAAGAAAAAGATGCTCCTGAGCCCCGGAGGAGAAACTCACCGTCTCAGGGTCTGAGTTCTGCAAACCTCAGGCTCCTCCCTTTGTCACTCTTAAAATGCCTTTCATTTGTGACCTCACATTTAAGCTTTCCTTTAACCTTTGTGTGCAGAAGATGAGTCTCAGAGTGGCAAGTGCACCTGAGACACAAACCCATCAAATTCTTCCTCCTGTAACTCTCCTCCCGTGGTGCAGCAGGGCAGCTTCAGCTTCTGCCTTACTTTGTTCTCCTCAGAATTCTTACCACTGTCCTTTGTCATTCCAGGACCTCGATAAAGAGAGCCACTTGGTAAACACAGCAATGAGTTTGATGCTAAGAAATGGTTTATGCCACCGAAAATAATGGTGTTTCTTTCGTTACATATTTTGTTTGTTTGTTTTCTCCTTTTGCCTTGGTTACTAGGAAGCTCAAAAGAAATTTCTGCTCAATTATAAGTCACTCCTCTTAGTATATTTCCCTCCACTTCACCAATTACAGTTAAAGTTTCTCTATTCATATTCTTACTCGTTACAGTTTCTCTATTCATATTCTAATGGTTCTATTGAATGTGTATCTTTAATTCTAACTTTCCTCAAATGATACATTGAATATTTATATATTGTTGTTATTTGCCGTGGAGTTGGCCCTGACTCATAGCGACCCCTCCTTGGGTTTTCGAGGCAGTATCACTACGGAAGTAGGATTGCCCAACCTTCCTTCCAAGGAGTGGCTGGTGGGTTTGAACCGCCAGCCTTCTGGTTAGCAGTCAAGTGCCTTAGGCACTATGCTACCAGAGCTCCTATTTATATATTGGTAGAATATAATCATTAAATGAAAGGCTCTTACCATGCCTATAAATGTGTTCCTACTTTTACCCACTCTTTGAAATATTCAGATTTCCAAATTTCTGCAAAGAAAGTGTTTCTTTGTTTTTCCTATTGAAAACTAACTCTGAAACAGTGAGTGGTGTGCAGCTTTTTGAACAAGTTCATGAATAAGGATGTTTCTGGAAGGGAAAGAAAAAAACCAGTGGCAAAATACAAAATATAAATGACACTGCGCTAAAATGGCACTCACAAAGTCCTGGTAAGAATGATGTCTCCAGGGGTAGGCATCTTCTTAAGGGAGGAATGATGGAAAGGTGACTCGAGCACTTATTAAATTACAAAAGGAATGATTCAATATGGCGGGTGAGTAAACGCCCATATGGCAATCTTCAGAAAAAAATCCGTGGCACTATACGGCACCATTTACTTTTCCTGAGAGCTGGCTACTTTTCTAAAGGGGGGAATCCTTGTAGGATTTTAACAAGAGAATTTCTAGACCAAACTAAAAGCCAAATAGCCGAATTATCTGAAGAAGAAAGTGAAGGCTACCTCTTTTTGTACAAAAAGACTTTGGCTGGGATTGCCAGGATAGTGACTCAATTGTTTGAAGAAATCCTTCTTTAAAACTAGAGTGTGATCATCTAAGACCCAAATCCTTAGTATTCTAGCAGCTTCCAGTTGGTCTCCATGACTCAGTACTTTGCATACTGAAACTGTTTAGGTGGAATGCCTAGAAATGACTAAACCATGAAAGAAGAGTTTTGTGCAAACTAAGTCTCAAAGATTCAGCCCCATTATCTATTGCTGCGGACTCAATTTCATTTTATGGTAGTTTTTCAAAGTCAGCCTCCTGGCTAGAAACATCATAGAGGTTTCTGCTAATTTCTGTGACTAAGTTGGTAAAAACGACAATAAGGAAAAACAAAACTGAAGTCAAACAACATTGGTTCTGGAATAGATGTAGAGGTCTGACATATGCCTAACTAACATGACACAAAGGCACACTTTGAGCTTAAGACTTACTCAGATGCAACATTTATAGTTTGTGACAGAGCTGGAATTTCTCATTCACTTGGTTCATGGCAGAGACAATAAACTAAATGGATATGAAGAGCAAAGCTGATTTCTCTGCCTTTGTAACTGATCTGTAATTACTCCCATTACTACTAAGATTCATGACTATTCATTGTGCTTCCTTCATGCCAGGCACAGCACTAAATACTTTTCTCATCCTGGCTTGTTAAATCCTTACAATAATCCTATGAGGTATATGCTCTGATTGTCCTCATGTTACAGATGAAGAAACTGAGGCCCAGCAGGTGAGGAACCTGCTGATGGGGGAGTAGCTGGTAAATAAATCCAAACTCAAGCCATCTGGCTCCAGAATCTGTGCTCAGGGCTGTATTGCTGCCAAAGCCCATGGTGAATGTCTTCACACAAGGCCATCCTGGATTTAAGCAAAGCAGGTCTATAAACGTCTAAGACCCACAAATAAACCAGTAAACAAGCAGTCCCATAAATAAAAACATGTGAGGGTTCTAATGAGACAGCCATAAGGACCTGTGCCCATCCCATACTTCTCACTCACATTAAAAAAAGCATTTCAATAATCACAAAAGATGGCTGCATGTTAAAAAGGGGCTTAGAAGAAGAGGTTTCCGAGAGGAAGAGGAAGGTTGTAGGTAATTCAAACCAGCTTACTACTGCTATCTGCTTCTGTGGTCACCTTCCTGCGACGCAAAATCCTCTCTAACTCAGTTTCACTGTTTTCAGTTTCAAGGGATTTTAAGCTTCTTGAACTAGTGGATTTGTTAAGTGTCCCCTAAAGTGAAAACAAAACAAAAACAAAAAGGTTAATGTTTTAACACAATATACAAAAAAAAAAAAAAAAAAAAAAAAAAAAAACATAAGAAAATCAAACCACAAAAACATTATCAGAATTTGAAAGGAATTAGGGAATAAAACAAATTTGATACATATATACATATACATTAATGTGCATGTCTCTGGCAACACTTAGTGTTGGATCATTTCAGAAGATGTTGTATTGATGCTATCAATTTTCGTATCACAAGAACACCTCTTGATGAGTTAATACATGAAATCAGTGGTTGGAAGGTCCTCGCACTTTGATGATCAAGATTCTGACGTGTGCTGATCCCATGGAGAAGACAACAGATACACTGGACTCACCTTTCAAAGACATCTTGATATGGCCGCCACGTACTACTGAACCCCAAGCCTTGTGGCACTGAAAACAGGTGGGGCTGACTCTTCAGAAAGAGTGACCACGGTCGTATGCCTGGTGACAGTGTTGGCGTGGCTGCCAGAGGAGGCGCAAAAGGCTCCCCAGTGACCCACCCAAAGAAACGGTGTGGAGGGCATGCAGTCATTCAGGGTGAAAGAGAAGGGCTGAGAGTCAGCCAAGGAGGCGAAGAGGAGCCAGGCCTCTTGATTCTACCTCCCTAACAGAGGAACAAGAAGGAGCTCTGAAGGCACAGTGGTTAAGCGGTTGGCTGCTAACCAGAAGGTTGGTAGTTTGAACCCACCAGCAGGAGGAGAAAGATGTGGCAATCTGCCTCCATGAAGATTTACAGCCTTGGGAACCCTCTTGGAGCAGTTCTAATCTGTCCCACAGGGTCACCATGGGTTGGAATTGATTCGATGGCAAAGCGTTTTATTTGTTTGTTTTAAAAACAGAGGAGTCAGTGAATGTAGTCAGGTCCCAGAAGATACTGCAGGGAATGAGCAATGCCACAACGCTGTACGCTGCTGACCCGGGTATGAGCTTTTAAGAAGACAGAGGGGGCCTTTGGAATGACTCGCAGTCCTGCTCCCCTAAGACTCTTGTTACGGAGGCAGAGCTACGCTTTTCCGTCTCCACCAGCATCTCCGGCACCAGACAAGTGTTTGGACAGAACAAGGGGTGAGACGCGTCTTCACAGTGATATGAAAGGATTAGCTCCCACCATCACTGGCAGTCCTCCCGTGTTCCCTAGGAAATAAAGGCCTACTCTTTCTTTGAAAAGGTCCTCAACTGTGCCACAGGCTTAAAATACAAACTGGCAGAACCACAATCTTTTGCTCATAGCAAATCAGAACCTCAAGTCTGGTATAATTTGTCAGAGTTCATGCTACCTTCAGAAGGCAGCTTTTTTCCAAGGCTAAAAACTAGGCCAGCCTTTGTAATTTCTGAAGTTACTAAGAGTTTGCCTTAAACCTGCTACCTTCCTCCTGCTAACCTCCTGAAGGATTCTAATAATTCTACTGTCTACAAATGGAAACCCACGATTCTTTGGCCTGTAACACAAGAAGGGTGGCTTGGAGAATCAGGTGGTTACAAATCTCAAATGATAGAGGTTATTACATCATTTTATTCAGAAAGAGTCGTGTGTGTACATCACCCGCCCCCCCAGTGTATTATTATGGAAAAGTAACCCGTTGTGAGATCAGGAGAAACTGCTACCAAGGTTAGGAAGTCACATTCCTTTGTTGTCAGCTGCCTGACGGAAACTGCTGTGTAAAATACATAGTAAGTCTTCTATCTTACAAGCAGATGATACTCCTCCCTGGAAATACCCACAAGCCCAAGTCCAAAGGAAAATCTTATCACAAGCAACACTGTAACAGCTTATTTTATAATTTAGAAACGGGAGGATTATATTTATTTATTTAATAGTTAACAATGCAGATCTGTCTCCACTCACTGAACAGTCACACAGGACGCCATGATTGGCACTGACAGGTAATGAAAAGAGACCTAAAGCCACTTTAAATAAATCTGAAAAAGGTACTAGAATAACTACTCACAAATAATCTGTGTTTATAATTTTTAAAAATGCACTGTCTATATCATTTGTTGACAGATATTTTTATGGCCATTAATATTACAATAACTCATAAAACTAGTAATTGTCACAATGTAAAAGATATCCTTATGGCTGGAGTTAATTCAAGGAAATGTGTGTGCTTGTGTATACAGACATATACACAAACACACACATATAACTTCCAAAGATATCTTTCATTCATGAATTTATCTTTCATAATACTCTCCGTTTGGCATGAGGATAACAGCATAATTTCACTCAAATTCTTGACAGTGGGCAGCTGTCTTCTCATCACACCAGAAACTGAAGGAATCCTTCTACCACCTTTTAATCTTTGAATCTTAAACTTTCTTCTTCACTTACTGACTGGTGTGGCTGATTTAGTAAATGAGCAAACTCTAAGTACAGAGGGAACGATGAAAGTAAGCTTTCTGTATGCTTCTCACTTGGAATGATCGAGGATCCCAGCTAATAAACAGCCAGACTATCTTAATCAGCTATTTATATTAGAATGATAGAAATTAAGAACCAGAAATTACCTTAGAAACCACGTGGCACACACAATTCCTTTGCTTTACAGACTAGAGAACTCAGGGTCAGGAGGAGCCTGAGTTTGGGCCTCGTCCCACAGCTTCATGATGTGGCTGGATCTGGATTGCAGATCTTCTTGTGCTTTCTCTACTTAAATCTTGTGACCCTTTAGCAATCTTAGTTTCCATGTTAGTTAAATGCTCATGATAATGACTAATCTAATTGTCAAGTGGAAAAATTGACTAGTCAATAATTTCTGAGTATGCTGAAAATCTGAAGATGCTTGAAAAAGACCCATAAAAGAATTGTTTTAAATGCTCCTTTCAGCAACGATTATGGGTCATGGTGACACAGTATGATTAACACAATTGGACCTCACTAACTTGTAAGTGTAAAAAAATGTTGAAGTGGCCAGTGTTGCACTAGGTATGTTTTTTTTTTTTTTTTACAACAGCACCAAAGCTGATTTTGTTCCTTTGATTTACAGTCAACTGAATTTGTAAAGAGAATTGTCGATTAATTTGTATTGATTTGTTCTTCAGAATCACCATTTCCACACAGAGTGGCTTTCAAATGACTGAGGAAACTCAAGTGGTTTCCCAGACCTCCAAACCCCTGTGTGGCGATGGCACGTAGAAGACAGACATCTTTTATTTATAAAATGCACAGCTTTAAAAATTGAGTAGGAACAGGCTTAGAAGAATGAGTTTAGTCGACACTGAGACTTTAAAAATTTGCTTGAAAACTCAAAATAAAGAGAGGATTTCCATCCCCCCTAAACCAGAGACTTTTTTCTCATCCATGGGCAGGTCAAACCTCTAAGTGTGGATGGACTTTACAACTCAGGTCAGATTCTTTTTCAACCAAAACACAGGCCCAGGAGTTTTCTCCTGGTTTCTGTCCTACAGTGGAACTGAACACAGTGTTACGTGGTCCAACATACAAGCACTCACTCTCCACACTTCTGTGCACACTCTGGAGGCCCCTCACATCCTCTCATGTTTGACTTATGCCACGACTGTGCGGCTCGTACTGTGTGCTATCCTGGTATGAACTCTGATAATCCTAATACGCTGAACTCCAACAGGAGCAACAATAGAACCCCATCTGATTGGTAGCTGGACTAGGGATTCCTTCCTGTCTCACAAGAACGTACATGGTGCCCCCCAGGTGACTGGGAGCTACCAGCGTTCCCTTTAAGGAAGCTTCTATGTGCCATCTGGCAAAGAAAAGTAGGAGAGAGGGTCACGAGCTCCATTTCTTCTTTTTAATTAATGCGTAGTGAGAATATTGACAGAACAATGCATCAATGCTAGATAAGGGAGAGCAATCTAGGGACAAATATCGGACAAGGAGGATGGGGGCAAGTTACAGAAAAGGAAGACGTTTTCTAAAAATTCCTAATTTGTCAATTATTGCACAAACCTAAGAGACTTCTCTCCTGGAAGTGACACAAAATTATAGTGAATATGATCTTTAAGAGCAACTCAGTAAACGTGCTGGTACCCACATTATAGGATGGGAATGCGATCTCCTGGGCAATCAAATATTATCTTAGGGCTCTCATGTGGACACCTGAATTTTCAAATAAATGTGAGCTTTGAAGTTCAAACTCTGTATGATGTTTTTCTTTCACTGATGATCCACCCAGAACTCTATCTAGAGCCTCCCAGTGCCCCTAGGGCAACTTCCTGAACAGGAATTACCCTTCCGGCATGGTGACAACAGAAGGGACTGACAATAGGGAGTGCTTAACACAACGCTGGGTAACAGACTCTTCTCATTATAGTGAACCCATTAGATAATAACCACGTGGCTTTCTCAGTGGCTTTAATACTTTATTCTGGAGGGAGACCACCACTGTTAGCCAGTGATATACCTCTCTTCAGTGCTAATCCCACTCACCTAAAACTAAAGCAAACTAATTACGCCATTCTGAGTTAAGTCTACTGTTTAAAGACACGCTTGATGAAAATAATTTTGTTTACCACAATTATGTGGATGTCTACACGCAATGCATAATTAGCACAGCAACAACAAACATAGGCGTATTTAGTCCTCTACCTCCGCCCCCATGTTAGCTGACTTACTGTGCATAATAACTGGTATTGGGACCATAACAGGATCTGAGAACAGAGCTCTTAGTATCTGAAACATTTTCTAAGTGAGGCGTTTGTCTGAATGCAACTGTTGGGGAGGGCAGTAGCCATTTACGTCATTGGCAAAAACTCACACTCTGGAAAGCAGAAATGAGACTAGAGATGGGCCCTAAGTGTGTTTTATGATGGGTGTGAATTACGCTTAGGAAATGAAATTGGTAACCTAAAGGGAAGAACTCTTACTCTGGTCTATGGGTTACTGTCACAACATCTTTTTGAACTGTGATAGGAAGCAGACTGTGACCCTGAGACAGACATATTTAGAAGCAGCTCAGGTTTACAGTCAGGGGCCAGGAATTCCACTCTCACGCCCCCAAAACAACCACTATCCATGTCAGGGGCTCTCCTCTCTCTGCTGAGAATAAACATGTACTGATCCACACATGCAGTCAGACAGTTTGTCTTCTAGCTGTGATGCCAGGACTGACAGGACAGGCAAGAATGGGAAACAACGATTTTGGTGAACATGTAACCACTCCCTGAAACGGACTTTGGCTAAGTCTTTCAGAATGGAGAGAGCAAAGTGTTATGGGATACATTATTAACACATGTGACGGAGACGTCCATAAATACAATCAAGTAAACCGTCCAGAGAAATGAGCCTTACTGTGAATGGAAATAAAATACATTCAAAACAATGATCTCTAAAAACATCAAGAAACATTTTCCTTTAATTTCTCTATTAGCTAAATAGTCGGCTGAGACGTGTTCTTACCAGTATTCCTTTGAGTTCATTCACTGCACTTTCAGAGCCTTTAGAAGAGTCCGGCTACAATTTTAAAAAGAAAAAATAATATTACAGAATAATTCAACTTGAATCTAACAAACAAAGATCACGACACGACAAAGCGTTGGTATTCTCTACTGGTGATCTGCATGACTGCCAATTTTTAAACGTTAGGCCTATGTCTTCACATTAGGAAAAACAGCAGCCAGCTTAGTGTGCCCAGAAGGCAGCTACCTAGAAAACTAGCAGTTATGTTCGAAGCAACAGGACTCAAGGTATTGTCTTTTAAATGTCATTTTGTTATCCTTGAGATTTTTTCAAAGATTTAGTTTCAAAGTATTCACTTTTCAGAATAAAAGTTCTTTTTCCATATGCCCTGCTGGACTCGGGCCAGCAAGCCAGGAGCAGAAAGACGGCAGCACAGAGCAGAAGCGAGCGGCGAGCAGGAAACCTCTCTGGGCTCCGTGAGCTTGAAGGCCAGCCTCTGGAGGGCTGGCTATCCTGCTTCAGAAATACCACAACAGGGTGGAGTCAGAGCAGAGGCTAGCAAAGAACTGTGCTTACAGGAGAACATTAGCATCATCTGCTGTCAGCATAGTGAAAGGCTTCCGTGTCTCATCCAAGCGCTCCATCTTACTTAGCAGGAAAGCTAGGTCTCAAGGAAGGCAAGAGTTGAGTCAGGTGTTTTGGGACAAAGTGATTTAGAATGACGTTGTGGGTAATACTTGCCTGCCTGTCCCACAATACCTAACTGTCTCGGTGGACCCCTCCCCTAACGGAGGGGAAATTTGCCATGAAGCCCTCATGAAAAAAGAAGATCTATAATGACCCTTGATCCCCCCTGTACCACTTCTTTTTACAAAGGACAGAGGTGAAGAGAAATCTTGAAAAGAATTCGTGAAGGAAGCCTCCTAGGCTTCTTATTCTTGAAACAGAAATAAGGTTATTTTTCTCCCATCAAGAAATGAGAGGTGATCAACAGCACCCTATAAGCCTTCCCTCTCAGTAGACAAAAAAAGAGTAAGATCCCATTTCAATTAAGAAAAATACAGAGAGAGAGAGGTTTGCTGCTCATGTGCAAATTAGAATAAGGCATTAAACTTTCAGAGCGCAGGTCTTCTGTGAAATATACATGCCATCAGTGCCAGTCATAGCTCTAAGTCACTAATTTTAACCACACCAACGCCACCAACAATATCAAGGAATTTAGAAAAAAGTGTAGTTAAATTAGTATCTTCAAGGCAGGCTTCACTTCTGCAAATAAACTGTTCAGGTGACCAGCTGTGACTTTTGAACAAATGCCTCACCAAAAGGTATACTCCAAAGTGCCGCCATGCCACTCAAGCTGCCCGGGGAACGCACAAGCCCTTTGAAGCCTAGAGCACGCACTGTCCTACGTGTGCCATTTCAGGAAAGCACTGACAACAGGGGAAGAAGTCTGGACTCGAGCATGCAATGACCGTATGCTGTCAAGGTTATCAATCAGGTTGTTCAGCACCACATCTCCATAGGTTAATGATTACCAGCGAAAAACCCAGGTGTCCACTGATCCTTGTTCAGTTGCTTTCCAGACTGTGAACTGACATTAAAGAATGTGTAACTGCTGGAAGAATCATGGGAAGAGAGAAAAGGTACAAAGTGATACTCTGAAAATGAAAGAAGTACGGAACATTGATTGCTTAGGATTTAAGAATTTGTCAACACTTTTTCTTCCTAAACTAATTTCATGTTTCTTTATGACACCACATTTTTCTCTAGTAACAGTTTGGATTTGCTTCTTCTTTCCATAACAGTCATGACGTAAGCATCATAAAAATGCACTCTTTTCAAAGCTTCTATTCAGATGCTGCATTTTAAAGTGCATTCATGTCCTTTTCCCATTTGACTCTGACAGTAGCCCTGTGAGTCAGGGCTCTGCTCTGCTCATTTAGTGGAGAAAAGGCCCGGGGTGGGGGAGGGGGAGGGCTGGGCAGCGGTGCCAGGGCCCCGACGCCAGCATCAGTGCTCCTCACCCACCACCAGACACCAGCTCTGAAACTGCTGTGCCGGATGGTCCCATGCACTTGGATTCTCCCTGGTTTAGACTCTGTCCCTTACCAAATGGCTCTCAATCACTGGCACAAGGACCACTCTCCACAGTTGGCCAAAGCTTCTGTTTCACTTGATGGACATCTACTCTTCAGCTGAGTGTTGTTTCCCTCTTTCCAACCCTGACTCTGTGCAGGCCTACACATGGCCACGCCAGCCTTGCCTGCCATCTTGCCTGCCTACGACCAAGTGGCAACTGTAACCGCCCAGATGCACTGGCCCTGAACAGTGTGACACTGAGGACTGCTCATGCAACTAAAGAAGGGCAACAGCCTCAAGAGTGACAAAGAACCACAGAAGTTTGGCTCAGAACAAAGTGAGAGGGAAGAAGAAGAAGAGAGCCAGCCTGTGGACAGCTAAGCAGAGTGGGGAGAGAAGGAACATTTGAAAAGGGAAATGCAGACACTCTAATGCTGGGCCATTTGAATGGGGCACACACAGAGAGGGAAAGAAGGTGGTGGCACCGACCCTCAGGAGCCTCAACGTTTCCCGGAGTGCTCGCTGCGGGCTCCTTTAGGAAGCACCTGACAAGACACATCTGTGTGAAATGTTCTCCTTGAAATGACCTGGAATAAGTCACTCTCGACAATCGGCCTGATGTAGTTCTCATCAAATTTCAAATTGTTACATTTTTAAAAGGAACAGCAAGGAGAGAGAGGGAGAGAGCGAGAGAGAGAGAGAGGCATCTGACAACTGCATACCTTTGCCTTCGGTCTGGCTGCCTGATTCACTGGTCTGAGGTGAACCCCCTTTTTGATTCTATCCATCATCTCTTCCACCGCTTGCCTCTTCAGATCTGTGACTTCTTCTGCTGCTCAAAGAACAAACACATAAGTCATCTTATATACAAAAACCCCAGCTACATCCTGCATCTGGTGGCTGAGAAAGAGTAAACTATATAATTAATCACAGTCATTTTTCGGATAGAGACACAGGCCACTGACCATTTACCAAGGTTAGCAAAGCTGTCAGGTACCAACTTTCTTTTTAAATATCTCATCAGAAAAATAAAAGTTATAAAAATTAAGATCAAATGCGTAACATGGAAGTCAATACTGTCTCACATGTTAAACAATTAAGATGGATTTTGTTCTGTCAGAATGTAGAGACTTTAGGTCTTTAAAAATTCAACTTTGTACCTAGTCCCAAATAATCATTCCTCTTTGTCTCATAGATGTTTTTATAACTTGCAGCACATCCATTTCAAAGACTGAGCCCGCTGAAGGAACAACGATCAAAAGGCTCATCTGAATAAAAAATCAGAGACCTTTTCCCTGCAGGAAGAAATTTCGTCAAAGATGAGCAGCAAATAGGTAAAATCTATTTGTAAACCACCATCTTTTGTTTAGGAATCACATGGAAAGAAAACTTTGAAGTAAATCTTTCTCAAGCCTTTTTAAAGTGTTCACATTAAAAGAAAACATACATCTAGAAATGAATGCAATTAAGTAAATTTGGGAAAAAGATTGTCAATTGTCTAATCTTTGTGTTATTTCACTTCAAAAACAATAAAGCCATTGAGATGTGTATGAGAGGTGAGCTTAAACCTGTTGATCAGAATAGTGAAATCTGTCCCTCTCTTGGAGACTGGCTGAACCCAAAGCAAAGAACCATTTTGGAACATTTATCACCATCAGCGGGGATTCTAGACACTGTGTTTAACTCCCTGAATACCCTGTTGCTATTGAGTCTGTTCCAAGGCAACACAACTCTGTGTGTTACAGAGCAGGACTGCTCCGTAAGGTTTTCTCGGCTGTCACTTTCATAGAGGCAGATCCCCAGGCCTTTGTTCCACAGTGCTTCTGGGTCGGGTCAGCCAGCCTTTAGATTAGTGGTCACACGGAAACCACCTGTGCCACCCAGGGACCCTCAGATCTTGTGTTGACCTCCATGAATTCACCTCAACCAATGCATTTAAGTTATCTCATAAAGGCCTTCCAACTACCATCTGTGATGGACTCCACAGGGCCTAACTTCTTCCAAAGTTTTGGCTTTAAGTGACTATTGATATTTTTACTATTTGAACATGACTAAGCCCAAATAGGTTGGCTTTGAAATGGAGGTCACAGCAATTATACCTTCAAGCTAATTAGCACAGCAGTAGGCTTGGTGGGGAGGAGGCTCAAAGCCTAGCTTCTTGTTCAGCTACCTGGCCAGATTTCATTCGACCCCTGGGAAAGTCATTCCTGTTATGCAAGTTGCCTAGAAGAGCAACTGTAAGAGCTCAGAAGGTTCCATTATCCCCAACCTTGCAGCCCCACAATGAGGAGATCACTGTTTTATTCATTTACCACACATCCCAGATTGGACCGTCCTGACTTCAAATACTGCTTTGATCATCTTCACAAAACACTGAAATGCTGGCAATGAACATTTCTCACCACTACACAACGTTTTTCAGGCCCAGAGGTCAAGCAATTATCTTTTGCCAGGCAACGTGAGAAACAGGGTCACCAAAGTTAGGAACTCATTCGCCGGCACACAAAAGACCAAACTGTGAGTTGATCAACCATGTGCCCAGAAGCAGCATGTTCTTGGGCAGCTTCTGGGCTCACAAGCTTCAACCCGGGGACAGACAACGAAAGCACTGTGGGAAGAAATCCACTCACTCACACTCAACTCTCTCACTCCCTCATTCACGCACCTCTAGCTGAATACCTAGTCTGCACTACAAAGTGCTTTAGCTGATCCCTCTCCATCATCAGGGGAGACAAAACCCGATATACCATTCAGGCGTCTGGTATGGGCATGGAGTTTATTCGTGGGAATTTAAAAAGTATCTTCAAAAAACATTTGATTTTCAGGAAGGCTGCCATTTTGAGGGAGACTGAGAAAAGCTGAGGGCAACAAGAACACCGCCTACCAACAGATTAGCACTCTGCAAGGAAGGACTGAAACCCAATTAAATGCACCATACGAAAACTAATGAAGGCAGACAGATGGAGAATTATGGTCAACACCATTCAAGTCTGCGACAGCATCTAACATAGCAGGAATTTAAAGCAGTTTTTCATATCTGCTTGCCAGGATCATAGTGATAATCAGAGAAGTGCCGCTATCTGTATTGTGTACAGATTATAAACTAGGCTTTAATTTCTCAGCCTTTTTCAAATGTAAAAGCTTAATTGGTTTTAAGGAAAATAAATCACTCTTACCAGATTCCCTGCTCAGGCACAATGTAAGGGCGATGTTAGCCACACAAGCTTTCCCACTCACCGACCCTGTTTTTGAACTAGCAAAAAGCAAGCCCCATACCAACTTCCAAACTATCAAGCAGTTCTAATAAATCAGCAAGGATCGCCTACGGAGAGCTCATGGTATGTTTTGTAATTCTTTCTGCAATCACGCAGTTAGTAATTGTCTCACCAAAGTATGTAATCAGGGGGACAATGGAAATATGCAGGATACTGGAGATTACAGGAAAGGGACAAATGAAGACAACAGGTCTAATGTTATTGAACTGCCAGAGGGAGACACAATCAAATGTTCTTTGAGTTTGTGCTTCAAGGTCACACCTGGATCAGAAAGCTACATGTAATTAATTGAGGCTTAAATTTTAAGACCCACTTGAAAAATAAGTTTGTTCCTAAAAAAAAAAAGACCCACTGACAAAACCATCATCTTATTGCTCAGAAAGACCTTCTGTCACTACCTAGAAGAAATTAAAGTGAATTTTTAAATTCCATAGGAATGTACTTTCTTTCACTAAATTCTTAAGAAGGCATCGAAAAAAATCTCATTCCACCATGATGCCTAAGATCTCTAAGGACACACCATAGTGGAGTACGTCTGAGGCTGACCTGAGGTCATGGAGTTAAGGGAACTCCCTTATCTTCAATAATCACAAGACCCTGCAGAAAGAGGGTGCCCTCCACCCTCCAGAAGGTGACAGGGGCCTTTCCTTTCCTTTCCTTTGTTTTTTAAAGTTAGCATTTTGAGTATCTTCTATGTACTGGGCATAACTCTAAACACCTTTCATGTTGTGACTCATTCATATCCACAACCCTATAGACATGGTACAACTAGGACCTCCTTTCTATGATGAGCAGACTGAGTCACAGAGGTAAGAAAATATCAACGAAGCAATGGCTTAAATACGTGATAAATTGCTGGTACACCTCTAAATCCCAGAACTGGTCCAATAAATGTACTGGTGTCAAGACTAGAGTGAGTGACTTCAAAGCATGATAGAATTTCTTACATTCAGACCTTAAAACTACTTCTCATATATTCCACAGACCTTCCTTCCCCACATCAAGCTTTTTAAGAGTCGTAACAGAGCAATGAAAGTTTCCTCTCATATGCTCTGAAAAGCTTACCAAGTGTACATTAAGAGCCATAAGATGTTAGTGCAAGAATGAAAACACTGTGATAGTGAGACGGGCCCCTGTGTCATGAATGTAAACCTGTAAGAGTCACAGGTGATTCCCGTGTGGGATGCTCTACATTGTTCTTCATAGATCGAATCATCGTTGATTTATTTATTCATTCTACAGCTACCTGTCAGTGTGAACTATAACAACAAGAAATAACTGACTTGTGCCGCAGCAATGCTGCTCCAGTATGTATCATTAAGGACCATGATTCTAGGGCTGCTCATCAAAAATTCCTTGAGCAACAGAGAATTACACTTCTGTGTCAATATCTCTATTTAGATGCCCAAACAACCATCCAATAGCCCTAGGATGTAAGAGAAAATACTGCCACATTCCATGAATTATAAATGAAATATCATTTTTATATGGAAAACTCCAGGCTCCTAACACTGAGGACTGAGAAGCTCCAGATTACTTTTTTATTTAAGGGGATAGTTGAGGTTGACAAACTGATAACAGAATCTACTTCAAGGGAAAAATCATTTCATTCTGACCGCCCTCCTGACCCTCTAAAACATACTGGTCGTTCCAAAACAAGATTGAGACAAACAACATTTAAATTACAGTGTCAGGGGAAGCTGAGAGTAAACTAGATCAGGGTTGCCCTGCAATTTACCAAAGGCAGGACTGCTCTGGAATCAGCAATGTCCTGTGCAAAGTGGAATATTTGCCTTTCAGTCCCACTGCTGTTTAGAGGAAGGACAATAGGAGGCCGGCACTGAAACTGTAGGTGAAAGATCACACAGCTCTCTTTGTTTGTAATGGTGCGGGGAGGTTCCTGGCTAAGAAAGAAAACACAAAGTCCAAACTTCATTCACTACATGGGAAAGCTGAGTAAACCCTCAATGAACTTGCAGTCCATCCAGGTGGACAGATGTGGAAACAGTACCAAGGCAGGAAGCAGGATGAGACATTAAGTCCACACTGTAGCATAAGTTGAAGCAAAATGCTATAGCAACACACAGCAATGAGCTCTTCATTCTGGATTGTTCATAACTACGAGTAAATGAGGAGGAGGCAGAGCCTGGCTCACACAGGCCCTCTGCCTGGAATCTGCTCAGGGCATATGGCATTAGACCAGCACCTTGCCTGAGGAGAAGGCTTCAACCTGAGGAAGGGCAGAAGGGCGAGTCTGGAATGAGTGCAATGGGCAGCAAATGCATAGAGGCCTTGGAGCTAACGGCCCAGCCATGAGACTGGACAGATGTAATGAGGGATGGAGCTGAAGCAAAGGCAGTCTGGACGACTCACAGGCAGTGAGGAGCACCGAAACGTCATGAGGCACAGGCCAATGGTGTCAGACCTCTGATCTCAGAGCGCCACCCTGCCAGTGATACAGAAGCGGCCGGACCCAGACACTGAGATGCTAGTGATATAGAAGCGGCCGGACCCAGACACCGAGAGGCACAAGCAGCCAAAAAGCAGCTTCCGCCAGTCTGGGCCTGAATCAGGCCAATCCACCACGGTCTGGACCTAGCAGACACTGGGCAAACACTGCTGAGTCGAATTTGGGTTCTACAGCTCTCAGCATAAAGCACCAAGATGTGGCCCCAGCAGTTGAGTCCTTGTTCTCAGTGTGGCAACATACCAACTACTCTCAGCTCTGGGACCCAACTCTGCTCTCAGCCACCTGGTGCCTCTGCTCAAGAGGAAGGCCCTTCTCCCTCCCCTGCCATCTGCTCAGACCACCCTCTCGACCAATCACCACGTGCTGTTGCTTTCACTCCCCTGAACAGATCCCCAGTTCACCCATTTCCGTCTACCCCCACCGCTACCCTCCATCACCCTTCATCTGAACCCTGCCACGGTCTCCTTCTCTCCACCCTCATCCCGTTAGTCTGCTTTCTGTTCCCTCACTGCGGCCAGGGTGACTGTCCTCACGCTGCACTACTGCTCAAAACTTCTACCGTCCTCAAGTAAATTCCAAGACCTGGCGCATGGCTCCCCTGCCCATCTATCCGATTTCCTCTCTTGCAAATCATGCTTTCCAGCCCATCAGCTTCTTTCACGTTTCGATAACATGGCACACTCCTTCCCCACTTTGGGCCTTTGAATTCACTGCCCCTCTATCTGAACTGCTTTTACCCTAAAAACCTGCCCTCTCTCGACTTTTAAAATCTACAAATACTCAGCTTAAACATCACTTTCAGACATCAGTGGTATACTCCCGTAACTCCTAGAACCTCGTCCTCCTCTTTCATGGCACTCATTGAAAACTGTACTTGAATCATTATATATTTAATTAGTCAGTTACTTGTTTACTTCCTGTCTCTCCCACAACAATGTAACCTCTGTATCTTACGTCTCCAGTACACAGCATAAAGCCTGACAGGTAGTAGGTACTTGATAAAATCTCACTTGCTACCAACTCTAAGAGGCCTTTCCCTAAACCCTCGTTTGGAATTACTCCCTCTCTTTCCCTTACACTCCCACAGCTTCTTGTCCCTTTATTAAAACACATTTCCTGGTATATCTCCTCTAGACAAAAGACTACACAAAGGCACTGACTGTATTTGGCTCATTTTCATAGTTGTTAAGTTCACATTTCTCCCCTGACCATCTCTTCATAGTCAAAGAACTCAGTCCAGGTATATGATAAGTATTTAAAAATTGTACACCGTCAACTGCTTCAGGAAAGGTGAGGTGACGCTTACTTGTTTCTGGCTGGGTTGGTTTTTCTTTCTTTGCACCGCTGCCGCTGGGGTGGGAACGTTTCCGGATCATGGACATGAGGGACCTTTGGGAGAAAGAGAAAGATCGACAGGAAATCACTGGGTGTCTCGTGATTCAAGAAATAAAATGCAGAGATTCTAAATAATCAGTGAAAATCCAGCTGTTCTCCAGGTGCGTTTGAATGCATAACTAGAATTCAAGTAGGCTACATTTCATTTTTAATGGAAATCACATTAAGGAAGGGAAATGTGTCTTATCCCTTTCCGTGCAACGTGAAACCAAATATGAAGGGAGGAAAGTGCTATAATCACTAAACAATGCACACACATTTAACAAAATGAAACATACAGAAAAAGCCTCCCATATCCACATCTAAAATTCACAAACAACCAACAGCAGCTGTCCATGTAATACATCTGATGGAGAAGAAAGGACAAAGAATCATCGAAGGTTTCAGATGAACGAGTAACACGTTTTCAGTATCTATTTGTGAAATATGGGCATAAGAAATTCTGAATCTGCATGCAATCGACCAAATACCTAGGGATATGGTATATTTAGACGACTGCTTTTCTGGTCCGTGTACTAAAAAACTATATCATGAAAAACTTGATCACATTAAAATTTAGAAGCCTCCATATATTAAAAGCCACCATAAAGAATAAAAAGACAAGCTACAAATCAATAAGGAAATGCAGACAACCCAATAGAAAAATGACAAAAGCCCTCAACAGGCACTTCACACAAGACGATGACCAAGCTGTCAAAGTACCTAAAAAAAGGTGCTTGACTCCATGAATTAAGTCCATGAAAACACAAATTAAACCCACACTGAGGTACTAGTGCACATTTCTCAAATAGAACTTAGAGTCTGACAATATCAAATGCTGCTGGGAATGTGGAATAACAGGAATAAATTGGTAAACCCACTGCCATCAAGCCGATTCTGACTCATAGTGACCCTATGGGACAGAGCAGAACTGAGCCCACAGGGTTTGCCAGGTTGCAATCCGTATGGGAGCAGGTTGCCATTATCTTTTTCTCATGGACAGGTGGTAGGTTCGAACCGCTGACCTTCTAATTAGCTTCTTGATTAGCAGCTGAGCATTTAACTCCCAGGGCTCCTTAAACTGGTGCCACCACCTTGGAAAACTGGTGTTATCCAGCAGAGCTGAGGATGCACACATACTAAGAGTCAACAATTCTACTCCTAGGTACATGTATTAAAGAAATGTGAGCACTTGTGTATCAGAATGCATGTGCAAGAATGTGCATGTCCAGTGTCCATGCTACTTTGGCCTGGAAATACCCCAAATGTCCATCAGAACCACAACAGACAAAGAAATGCTGGAACATTCATAAAATGGTTTAGACACCAATGAACATGAGCTTCAGTTTTATAAAATAACATGGATGAATCTTACAAAATGACAGAGTAAAAAGAGCAAGAAATGAAAATAGTAAAATCTCAATCATGCAAAGTTCAAAAAAAGACATTATATATATATATGTATGTATGCATATTCATACAGATTTATGCCTTTTTGAACTTTACTTTATATGTATGTATATATGTGTGTGTGTATGTATGTATACATATGTACATACACATACATATACATATACATACATATATATACATACATGTTTTGGTGGCATAATGCCTAAAGCATTTGACTGCTAACCAGAAGGCTGGTGGTTCAAACCCACAAGCCACTCCTTAGAAGGAAGGTTGGGCAATCTACTTCTGTAGTGATACTGCCTCGGAAACCCAAGGAGGGGTTGCTATGAGTCAGATCCAACTCAATGGCAGTGAGTTTTTATATATACATATATTATATACACACACACAGATACACACACAAACACAGAGAGAGAGAGCACATGCGAGAGAGAGAGACAGAGAGGGAGAGAGCAGCTCTTTGGCATAGTGGGTAAGGCATTCATCTGCTAACCAGAAGGCCAGCAGCTCAAATCCACCAGGTGCTCCGCAGGAGGAAGATGAGGCAATCTACTTCTGTAAAGATTTACAGTCTTGGAGACTCAATGGGGGTTGCTGTGAGTCGGAATCGACTCGATGGCAGTGTTTTCTCTTTCTCTCTCTCTCTCTCTTTCCATATCTATAGAAAGAGAGAGATTGATTGCTTGACATATTGTTGTTGTTGTTGTTGTTGTTGTTATGTGCCGTCGAGCCGGCCCCAACTCATAGCGACCCCTCCTTGGGTTTCCGAGGCAGTTATCACTACAGAAGTTGGATTGCCCAACCTTCCTTCCGAGGAGTGGCTGGTGGGTTTGAACCGCCAGCCTTCTGGTTAGCAGTCAAGTGCCTTAG